GCGAGTGTCTGCCGAAAGTACGTCGTTACTTGGGCTCGTCGTGTGCTCCAGGGAACTCCGTCCTGAAGGTCGTCCGTCTTCAAGTCCCGTGTGGCCTTCAAGAGGTCGCAGGAAGCCCGCTCCATTAGAATTCCCGTGTGCCCAGTCGAGGATGTCAGCAAGGCATAGAGTCGCAGAACATTCGGATGAGGTCCTATCTGGCTCAAAAGAGTGAACTCACGGGTCAAGTCCCACGTCTTTTCGAGACCGTCTTGGTGCACGTCCAACAGTGCAGTCTCCCTGTCCGGCGCGCGAACGGCCACTTTCAAGGCTAACTTCAGGCCCTGGTACGTGCAAGCGAAAATCTCCCCGTACGTGCCGCGACCCATATGTTTCTCCTGCACCAGTGGGTCCTCGGCCGTGTAGCGAAAAATGCCACGACCGTCGAAGTCCTGCGACTCTGCGACGTCCGGCAGTTCTCTGTCCATGAACGAAGCGGGGGGAACTTCCGTGTGTTTGGCCTGTCGAAATTCTTCGCGTTGGACCCGATTCTCCTGGTAGCCCTGCCTGGCCTTGCGTGTGTACTCGTCACGGAGGTCCTTTCGGTTGTGCCTCGGGGAACAGAGGAATTTTACTGGACGATTGGGTGAAAAGGTAATCCCCGAGTAAAAAGTAACATGACTTGTATTAGGACTTTTAGCTACATCTTATTAATTATGTCTGAAGTAAATAACTTTGGTACGTAGCTAAGATGGCATATTCGGGTTCCTGACCAGAATTGCCAAGATTTTACTTCCCGTGGCTTCAGATGACTTGGGGTTCTAGGCAAGGGGCACATGTGTCAGTATCTATATTGATTTTGCAGCCAAGAAGCCACTTGCGCAGATAATGTTTTGAACCGCGAAGTGATGTTTTCCGGGACAGTCGACGACGAGATTTGGGGTCCACAGAGTCCTTGCACATGTCCTGCATGAACAGCGCGTATGCCGAGGGTCGTCGTGACAGTCCCACCTCCTGTAACTTCGGCCGGGCCACCATGGCACGAGTAATACTTCGAGGATGGAACCACGAGTCGAGACATGTACAGAGACTCTTTCCGTTCCATTTATTTCAACAAAACTGAATTCTCATGGACTCCCACCGAGAATAAAAACCTAGGTTTCAAGTACAAACATTTCTGGTACAATTTCCAGTTGCGCTACATGACTACTCATTATCTTGTGTGTCCGTGGGGAAAGTTACACAGAAGGTGAGTGAGGGCGCGTTGGCTCGCCATATCAGTACATGTCTGGCCTACTTAAAATACGTGCTCAATGCATGGACGACATGCTCCTGAACTTGAACCCACATCACCGCCACTGTCTCACACACGTAGCAGTGCATTACAGAAGTCTGACTAGAAGCATCAATTGCACGGATCAAACACGCGTGCAAAGCGGAATAATCCTCTTTTGGGCCCGACGAATGTGTGCATCGATGCTGAACGACGATGTGCTACGAGGAGAAAAAGTCCAATCACGGGCATGTCAAGTCCGAGTGAACTCAGGAGTCGAACCTTGTCAATCGCTCCTGCAAGTTTTCGGGTGGGTCACGTCCTTCGTGGTGCTCCACCCATGACCAACCTTGTGTTACACAGGCTCGACCGGCGGCAGCTTCACCTACTTGTGTCCATGAAATACTACGTGTAATGCTGACTACAGCTGTCTTGTACGACACCTTCCAACGACCATTCTTTGGGTCCGTCCAAACCTGTACAGTATCAGGAACCATGCTCTTCACAAGCTCGTCCGTCGTGGCATTCAGCTTTGCGTACACCCGGTCGTACTGCTGCTTTAGCTTTTTGCTGTCCTTCTCGGCCTTCTGAGTCTTGCGTCGGCGTGTGTCCTGTCCGGCCTTCCAAAAGTCCTTGTCCAGGTCCGAGACGGCGTTCTTGTACATCGTGCATACCTTGGGTCGTAGACTTTTGGCCGAAACCGTGGACCGACGGGCACTGAGCTCCTTGAGGGCCTTGTCCTGCTCGCCAATGAGCAGCGTGTCCCGAACGACGGCTTCCAAGTCCTTGTCGTCGACCTCCGGCATCCACTTGTCAGTCTGATGCCTTGCCAGGATTCGTTGAACCACGTCCTCTTCGACCAACGAGTTGTCCATGTTGAGCATGGCGGCAACAGCCAGCTGATGTCCTGCGTCCACACCTGATTTGGGTTGGGTGGCGGTCCAACCCATGTGCTGGCACAACCTGCGCAACAAAGCCTCAGAACAGGCAGCGAAGCCCTGCTCGGCGTGAAAGTCCAACGTGCCCATCTTCTTGTCCACCAAAAACACGATGCCGTTGTTGAGGTGGCTGCCCTGCGTGGAACGACCTCAGCAGTAGCAGTAGCGGCAGCAACACTCTTAGTAAAAAATGATCGCAATCGTTAAGTTTTGCGCCTGGTCAGTAAAAAGCGGTGATATCACTAGGAAGACTGGTAAAAAGACTCGAAAAGGGTAGTAGTAGTAGTAGTAGTAGTAGTAGTAGTAGTAGTAGTAGTAGTAGTAGTAGTAGTAGTAGTAGTAGTAGCAGTAGTAGTAGTAGTAGTAGTAGTAGTAGTAGTGATAGTACTAGTAGTACTAGTAGTAGTAGTAGTACTACTACTAGTAGTAGTACTACTACTACTAGTAGTTGCAGTAGTAGCAGTAGTAGTTGTAGTAGTAGTAGAAGAAGTTGTAGTAATACTAGTAGTAGGAGTAGTAGTACTGGTACTAGTAGTAGTAGTAGTAGTAGTAGTAGTAGTACTACTACTACTACTACTACTAGTAGTACTTGTAGTAGTAGTACTACTACTACAAGCAATCGCAGTAGTTTACAGTAGTAGAAGGAATCTCAGCAACAGTCCTAGTAGTAGTAGTATTACTACTACTAGTACTAGTACTACTAGTACTACTACTACTACTACTACTACTAATACTACTGCTAGCACTAGTACTAGCACTAGTAGTATGGCCAAAAAAGTGGTAGCAGTACACACAACCACACCCTCCTTTCGTCAATACCCAAAACCTCGACGCACGTGCCATCCTGGGCTACTCAACCTAACTCTGTGAAACTTCGAATCCTTGACTGTCGAATCGCCTGAGTTGTTCAGAAACCCATAAAAAATAGCTTCAGTGCTACCCCCCCCCCGGGCCGAAACTTACAATCTGAACCGGAGAAGCCTTCCGTGTCAATCAATCATCGTCACTCATTATAGGACGAATATATATGTAGAGAATGTCCGTGTCGGGCTGACAATGTTCAACTGTACTGCAGCCGAGGCACGCAGAGGTGAAACAACTCGCAGCCGCAACACTTCCAAGTCCAAAGATGTGCTGTGCATCCAAAAGAGAGACCGAACGCCCATGTTGAATTCGAAAAACTCATGGTCCTTGTCCTTAACGATCTTGCCGGGCCATGCGAGTGCAGCCAAACGGTATGTCCGAACGATGAACAACGGGTCTGCACCTGCCAGTACAACATGTCCTTCGGGCAAAAGTCCAGAGCACCAACCTTCTTCACAAAGCGACCATCGCTTGGCCCTCCACGCCTTCATCAGTAAACTGAAGGCAGCCAAAACCTCCTGTTCCTCGGCGTGGTTGTGGGAGACCCAGTCCCTCGTCTTCGTCACGTCTGCAAGAAGCTGTGCTTCCTGCACCTCCGAGGCACTGACCTGCGTGCTGACCGACGAATCGGAACGACGACGAACTGCTTGAATCTTCTTCTTCTCGGTGTCTTTGCAGAAAAGTTTGGCCACGTCAAACGCTGCCGGCGTGTGGTAGAGCTCCGTTGACAGTGCCTCCACCCTCTCGTACATCTTGACCACGGCCTGTTGGGTCACAGCCTTCCATCCGTCCAAACGACCCAAGTCCTTCGAAGACGAATGTCGTTGCTCGGCCTCGCGCTGGACTTTATTACAGTCTTCGATGATCTTCGTGTTCAAGAGGCCCGACCAAATGCTGGTCAATACGTGTGCAACGTCCTCCGTAAGGCTCTGAAACCGGGTAGTGCAAAGATCGGCGAGGATGTACCGACTAATCGGCCCTTGGGAGAAATGACCTTCGAGCAATTTTTTTTCCATACGAGAACCACCACTGTGCGTGTCCTGGATACAAGACTGCATCTCTTTGAAAAAATCCAAGCTTGCCCGACGGAACTGCTCTTCAGCATGGACTAGTCCTGCGGTCGCACCGAAACCTCCAGTATGGTACAGCTGTGCCCCGGCCCGCAGCCGCAGGATCTGTAGTGTCAACTGCGTCATTTGGCCTGCGAGCGAGTCCTGCCAGACAAGCTCTGTCTCCTCCGGGGGTTGTGCGCGTGCCAGTGTCAGGTCGAGGCCGACACGAGATAAACCTTCCAAATTCGACAAAGTCCTGACGTGGTCCTTTGCAGTGCTCATCCAAGACCAGTGTGCCCAGCCAGAGTAGTAGTCCTTCGTCATGCCTTTGGAACGCAGCTGCTTGAGCATGAGCGAACAACGAAGCTCTTCGGGTTGCAAGACCTGGAACATCATCCTGGCTGTCGTCTTGTTGTCCTGCGAGATCACGAACTTCGTCATTAAGTGTAGACTGTTCGCGCTGCCCTTCCGCTCCTGGTCCATGCCTTGCTTGGCCTCCTGTATGGCAGAAGACTTGCTTCCACCATATGGAACCGAGGCACGGGCCTGGTTGCTGTCCTGCGAGAAGAGGTCCTTAGTGGAAACTGCCCAGTTGTGCTCCAAGCAGACCACCGTGAGAACTAAAGCCAAGACCGACCACTCTTTGTCCAGCGCGCTGTGGGCCGTCGTCAGGGAATTGAACCGACTCTTGCTGGCCTTCGTGCCCTTGATGCGGATGCAGTCCATGTCGGGTAATGTCTGCAAAAACGACCTGCGTTTCTCCTCCGTGTTGTCGTCCAGGGGGGAGAGGCCGGCGTCCAGCAGAATGTCCGGGAAGAAAAGGAGCAATATCGGGTCCGAGGGGTCCATGTTGTCCTTCATGCGATTTGCGGCTTGCTGGATCTTCAACGCCCACGAGCCCTTCTGCCAGGGTCCATACCTGATGTTGTACAGCGAGATGCACGTGCAGAACTTCAGGAGTCCAGCGGCCGACAAGGCCAAAGCCACGTCGTTGTGCGACCTGTGGGCGGGGTCCGAGACGTGTTCGATCCAGAGGCTCTTTTTGTTCCTCAAGAAGGAGACAGCCGCCAGCTGTGTTGCTTCTTGGTCGGTGCACAAAATCATGATCGGTGCACGTTTAGCCTTCGTGTCGTCCTCCGCGGGGCCGGCCGGCGTGCTCTGGCAGCAGCCAAAAGTCCAGCCAATGGGTCGCAAGCCGTGGTTTATGTCCTGCATCCAAGACAGTGTGGCCAGCCGGTCCTCCGCATGACCAGGTCCAACGGGTTTCTCGATCCCGAGGAACTTCTTGGAAGCCTTGTTCCACATAGCTTTCCACTGCTCAGCCGACAAGACGGACGATTTCTGGACCTGCTGCGTGGTCTGACTACACAGAGAAAAATGTGAAGCAAAGCTTAGAGGAAGAGCTTGTCAGCAACAGCATGCAAAACAAACGACAGAGGTTGTTACCATATAATCACCCAGGGGCCCTTTTTTGGGGGACCGGCCGGTCAACTTAAGCGGGGATCTGGCGTACCTTTTTGGGGGCCGAAATGCAGCCAAAATGTGGCCGAAATGCGTTCCTCGGCCTCCACCCGGGACCCGGTCAACTTAAGCAAGGCTGTGCGTACCTACTCATCAGTAGAAGGGCGGCCGGGAGCCTTTATCAGGCCAATCCCGAAACCCAGGGGTCAGCGGGGATACGTGTACCTATCTTTATATAAAATACAATAGAAAGACTCCGCCCCAAACCGAGCCTGAGCGGGGATACGTGTACCTCCCCTCGGAAAAACGATTTTGGTCGGACCCAGAAGCTACGAAAACGGCACCCAAAAAGGTCAACTTAAGCAAGGCTCTGACGTACCTCGCCTCTTGCCTAAAACGCCTCAGAAATATGTGTTGCTTAACAAAAAAAAAAAGCGCCTGCGGCGGGCAGACCCAAACTTTGTCCGTCGTGTGGTTGTACACCATGATGTTCAGCCAATCGTCACTTCCCACGTGCACTGCATCTGCCACCACGCACAAAATGTCCGTCGAGAGGAAATCTGACTTGCCCTGCGTGACATAGGCGTATCGCTCCATGCGTGCTAGCCTGTGTGCGTCCATAGAAGCGTGCTTCTTGATCTTTTGTTCGTCCTGCTGTTCGCTGCTGTCCTGCACGGTGAACGCATGTCCTTGCAATGTGGAGGTAAGTGTCCTGCGTGTGGCATTCGATGAACTCGCAACCTCTTGTCGAAAACTCGTGGACGACCGACGATATCCGGAGGTGCTCCTGAAACAACAGGGGGAATATCAATTTTCGGGCTTTCAAGACACAACCCTACATCTTAAAACCCCGGAACCCTCCAAACCCTTCAAACCCTCCAAACCCTCGAATCGAAACCTCTCTCCTAAGCTGCATCACTTGCTTCACATTCAAAGATGTCCAGCAGGAATGCGTGTCGTCCGACGAATCCATGGCACGTGCCAAAGCCGCCAACAAGTAGTACTTCGTCCTCAAACTAGATGACTTGCGAGTGTCTCCAATTGTCCGACGGGTGCAGTCCACATTCACATCCTGCAGCACGTCCATGAATCGGGAACGATCGCGGTGTAGTACTTTAGCAAGTAAACTGTTTTGCAGTACAACCTCGTCCACGTCCAGCGAACCTCCTTTGAACGGCAGCACCAGAGTGTTTCCGTCCCACGTGAATGAGAAGTCCTGCGGGGTCTGCAGGAACAAGGAAGCGAGGCCTTGAAGCAACTCCCCGGCCAGCTTGGATACCTCCTCTGCCGGCTTCTTCCATTTGGCATCTTTGCGCATACCCTGGTGCCATTGATGCAAAAGAACAATCGTTGCAAAGCTCGACGTGGCAAACTCTGTACAACGTGTGCTTCGTCCAGCTGCTACCTCTTCCATCTGGTCACCCGTGTGCTCCTCATTGTCCGCTTGCTCGTTGTCGTCCTCCATGTCGTCCTGCATCTGCTGCGAGGATGCCTTTCGTTTGGTGCCCTTCTTCTCGGCGTTTGCAGCGTGCTCCTGCTGCTTGAGGAGGGAGAACGAACTCTGGAGAAAGTGCGACTCGATCTCTTTTTTCAGAGCGTCCTCCGTGTCTGTCCAGCAGGGCCATGCAATCGTGAAGAGCTTGTTCCTGAACGTCGACACACTGCCTGCGAGGAAATTTCGAGACTCGTGTCCTCCGAGGAAGTCCACAAACCAACGCATGTGCCAAAAACGATGTCCATCCGTTACCTTGGTCTGCGGCTCTTTGAACTTGTAGCTCTCGCCCTTGAGGCTTCCGTGTGTCCCGCAGGGAATGCAAAATGCAACTGTCCGACGCTTGTCCGACGCAGAGCTGAAAAAAGCTGGAGGTCCTGAAGAAGAGGGTCCATCGGCAGAAGCGGGCTCCAGCATCTGATAGCGAGTGGATCAATTCTACAGTCTGTTTCTGGTGAACGAATGTAGCAAAACTTTATAGGCTATGTCCCAGGAAGTATATGTGACATCTGCCAAACCAAGAGAAAGGGAGGCTCTGCAGGCATGCAGCTTTTATTCTGGAAGCCCAAAGACAGCGGCAACGAATCGCTGATGTCGCAAGGCAGTGCTCACACCACGTGTCATGGGTCTGTGTTCTTCTGCAACATGTATGTAGCACATACTGCAAGGCACCGCAAGGAAGTCATTATTGCAGTCAGCCATTCATCGCACGTATTCTTTTATGCAGCTTGCAAGTTGCCGGCTTCACGGCCCCAGTGAAACTCGTGCCTGTCCACTCACTCAGACACAATGGGTCGAACGGCGAGGCGAACGACATTGTGCTTTTCGAGTGAACAAACTGGACAGAACAACGAGTAAAGTCAACCCCAAACTCAAGACACACTGAACTACCAGGAGAGAGTGCATTATGCACTCCGGACCGACGGGGTGCCCTGCGGCACATTGTCGCCGAGGCCAGCCGTGGTGTCTGCGTCCGACGACAAGTCGAAGGTCCACTTGGCCTTCATGTCCGGCAAAGTAGGAAAGAAACTCGCGCATTCAAAACTGAACAACGAGTTATGCTGTCCATCTGAAATGACACAGTCCACCGCAAAAGGGTCGTCCAATTGCCACGTCTTGTTGTCCGGGAGAGTAGGAAGCTCGTGGCTGAGGTACGACTCGTTGGGTACGAACTCCGAGCGGGAACGGCGAGGGTGTCCATCTTGTGTGGCAAAGACGTGGCAGTACAACGTGTTGTTCTCAAGTGACCAGATGTTGTACCTGTCCCGGTCAACACTGATAGCCTCCGCCGAGTTCACCGCAGCTATGTAGTTGCGACCAACGTCCTCCATGCGGGCCCTCGCTAACTTGACCAACGTGGACTGATAGCGAATGTCCGCACGAGATGGCAAGGACGCCGACTTGGCTGCCCAGAACTGGATCTCGAAGAGGGTCCGTACGACGGGTTCGTCCTTCTGTACGTCCTCCGCGAGCTCCACACCGCAATGCTTGAGCATTAAGCTCGCCATCTCAAGCGGCAAACTGCCCCATTTGGTGCACTTGCCCTTCCATCTCAGTCCACCGGTCTCCTCCTTCTTGGCAACGTCCTTCAGAAGACCATTCAACGAGCCCGAGCGGATCAGACCAGCGAGTGGAGAAATCCAAGTCGGGTTCTGGGTCAGCGTGTCTTGAATGAACCGCATGTCCACGTCGAGTATGGTGCTTTTGGAGTGCTGAACGGCGGATGCGAACGTCGCCTCGTTGCGCTCCCGGGTCTTGATGTCCTTCGCTTTCTGCTTCGCCAGCTGCTTGAGGGTGGGCTTGCGGGGGCCGGCATCACGAGGCATGCTGGGCAAGGTCCGTCGAGGAAGAACGACGGGGGAAGGATGATAAGACTGCACGAAGTCTCAACGCACAGGCAGGACGGCTTCGGAAAACCAAACAATCAATCAAGCCCTGCTGCTGGGTGGTCTCACAGTGCATTGTGACTGGACGAACATGGCAAGCAAGACACAAAGCGTAGACCGCACGAGAGCACAGTGCCTGAAACGAGAAGGCTCAGCGGCAGCGATGCCGGCCAATGGAGTCCGTGTCCTCCATATGAACAGGACAACAGCGATTGCAAGAGCGCCTTCCTCCAGCTGGTTGACTACTGGTCTAGTAATTACTCGTAGCAATACTAATCCAGATTGCGAAGAGTAGTACTAGCAGCAGTACCACTACTCATTAAAGAAAGGAAAAACCAGTAGGCCGAAATTGCAGTCCCTATTAGTTGAAGTAGAAGTATTAGTAGTAGTAGTAGTACTAGTAGTACTAGTAGTAGTAGTAGTGTACTAGTAGTAGTAGTAGTAGTAGTAGTAGTAGTAGTCGTAGTAGTAGTACTAGTACTAGTACTAGTCGTAGTAGTAGTAGTAGTAGTACTAGTCGAAATAGTAGTAGTAGTAGTAGCAGTAGTACTGGTTAGCTAGTAGTAGTAGTAGTAGTACTAGAAGTAGCAGTAGTAGTCGTAGTAGTGCTAGCAGAAGTAATAGTAGTACTAGCTAGCTAGCTAGCTAGCTGGCTAGCTAGTAGTAGTAGTAGTACTAGTAGTAGTACTACTAGTACTAGTAGTAGTAGTAGTAGTAGTAGTAGTAGTAGTAGTAGTAGTAGTAGTAGTAGTAGTAGTAGTAGTAGTAGTAGTACTAGTAGTAGTAGTAGTAGTAGTAGTAGTAGTAGTAGTAGTAGTAGTAGTAGTAGTAGTAGTAGTAGTAGTAGTAGTAATTAGTAATTAGTAGTAGTAGTAGTAGTAGTAGTAGTAGTAGTAGTAGTAGTAGTAGTAGTAGTAGTAGTAGTACAGTAGCAATGCTAGTAGTACTTGTACTAGTCGTGGTAGTAGTCGTAGTACTGAGTTGTACACCTCATGATTATTTTCCTGAATCAAGCCACACCCGAAGCCCCTCTGTGGACAAGTATGGTGAACTTCCAGAAGTGAAATCGGTTTATACCATGCACTGTAAGTAGATCTAGTTAAGGAGACACCACCCGCAATGAATAGGCCAGAACTAACCTTAATGATTCACAGCCACAAACAACAAATCTAATGTGTAACGCCCAACACTAAAATTTACCGCTCACCCTCGATTCTATGCACTCGATGCTTGAAATGCTGAAATGGCAACCCAGGCAACAAACCGGACTCCAATTGCTCAAAGGCCTTTAACTCTTTATGTCTACGGCAATTGCTCCATGTCTGCTGCAGGTGGATCCTAACTTACCTCAGAGTCCGCGGAATGCCTTGTCACAATCCGAAAGCATGACCCCTGACTTAGTCCTCGTCCTGCCGTGTGGCCGTGCCCTGCGAACCGAACGAGGAGTGACCGACCTCAATTGCAATGCATGAAGCACATGACAAACCTAGTACGAGTGACTGGTGACTGCGGGTGGTTCAAGCACTTGTCGCTTCCGAGTGTGACAGGAAAGAACACAGCAACTGTGCCGATGCAAATCGTCACAAACTGTGCAGCACCAGAACTCCGAGGACCCCGCCAAAGAGGTGCCAGTCCATGTCAGCAACCTGAAGCGCAAAAGTTTAAGTCAGCAAACAGTGCGATAGGAACTAACATCCGGCAAATGTAAAGTGTGCCAGGACAACTCTTTTGAACGGCGAGAGCGAACTGATCTGAACTCCGAGTGCAGAAAACGTGTCACTTTCGAGACTGGCCGGCGAGAGCGAACTGCTCCAGAACTCCAAATGGAGACTGGCCGGCGGGTACGTCGTGCTTGAACGAACTGCGGCTAGTTCCACGAGCCCGGTCCAAGTTCGAGTTTCTTGAGAAACAGTCCGATGCACTGAAAGTCGATCGTGTCACCTGAACCAGCGATGTCCGAAAATTTGTCGACTTGGTAAGTATTTCAGTTATACTACAAGGTTTACCAACAAAAATCTTACTGGTTCTGCTGTTGCACGTCCGTCGGGGCCCTTCGTGATGCAGAAGTACAAGTCCGACGCGTTGTGCGACGACACCGCGTAGTACATGTGGCCCTGCCAGGGAACGGGGACGGCCACCGGGTAGGCCTCCCAGTCGCGGTTCAGCATCTCGACCATCCACGATTGCGGGTGTCGGGAACCGAACAGCGGGGAATGGAGTCCGGCGGAGAGGGCGTTGTCTGTCCTGCGCTGGGCCGCCCCGAGTATCTGCTTGAAGCAGAGCCTGGACCGGCAGTGGGTGCTGCGTGTTTAACCACTCACACACACAAGTGCAAGTACTGGAATGCTTGAATGACTGAGTGCGCTGATGTCATAGCTGAGTGCCACACTCCAACATTTTATCGCCCTGCATGTGTTCGACGAGTATCTGCCAGCCGTCGTCCTTCCTGCTAGGGAACAATTCAATTATCAGAAACACAAACTATTAAAATCTAGAAGTCTCTCTCACTCACCGTCCGAGGAGTCCGTGTCGCGAAGGCAGGGGGCCGCTTGTACAGCAGTCCATCGGTTGCAGCAAGCCAAGACCAAAGCCTACGGGATGTGCTCTGTGGAAAATAATCAATGTATTATAATATTATATGGCTTTAAAAGCATGCACCTTCATAGAAACCACGCTACAACCAACATGGGTGTAACGAGCCTGTCCGCCCATTTCTGCTGCGTGTCGTACGGCGAGTGTTCGGGTACAAAGACAGTCGAGAGCCATTCGGTGCGCCATTCGGGCATCCTGTCGGGTTGTCCAGTGCGGAAATAATATGCCTGCGCAAGGCTCAGATCGGCGAGGAAGCACTGCAAATCCTCCTGCGAGTCAATGTCCGGCGGAAGGCAGTCCAAACAGTTCGACGGCAGCTGCTCGCAATAATCGAGATTACGCTGCAGGATGGTACTTGGGTCTTCCATCCCACAGACCGACGCGAGGTAATAGTCCATCGCACGAAAATCGAATATGACCTCGTCCTGCGGGTCGGTGGAACGGCGAAGAAAAAACGGGAGTCCATGGGGAAGTCCTGCTCGGTCAGCGGAACCGGAGGACGACATGTCCGACGAGAAAGAACGAGGAAAGGGAGAGGAATGATGATGACAGTGGCAGGTGGCTTGGGCTTTCTGGCAGCGGCATGATAACAATGATTCTGTGTCTAGGCTTCTTTAAAAAACCTAAAGCATCACCAACCACGACAGACCATGATGCTTCAGATGAAAGTCTGCCTGACTTGTGCTGCTGCTCCACACTGGCAAGTGCTAGGCTGCCCACGGTGATCTACGTGTGCCCACTCGAAGTCCAGCGGAGTCACCTTTGTGAGGCCGACGTTAGTACTACATGGGAACCATGGACTCATGATTTGTCCCTAGTCCTTCGGGGTGGTCCTGCGGTGCCGCTTTTGAACTTCCTAGCTTAAATCATAGTAACTTCGAATGCAAAGTGCACAGAAAAGGAGCTTGGACAGTCCTAGGAACCGACCTTGAACAGTCTGGTTACAAAACCCAGCATTCTTTACAAGAGGCAAGCTGCATCGAACTCCGAACGACCGTTGCAATGTGTACTGACGACCCAGGCCTTGTGTCTAAGTCTTCAAACTGACATGTATAACTATGATTCTAAACTGCATTCAGTCAGCTGCTAACCACCCTTGTCCCAAAGGAACCCCACACCCTGTGTAAACCCGACAGCTGAAACACAGACTCTGTGTGTGTGTGGGTGTGTGTATGTGTTGTCCTGTGTATGTCCTGCGAGTGCCAACAGCTGTTGCTTAGTGTTGCATGGGAAACCAGATGAACACAACGTCCCAAATGAAGTCCCCAATCTCAGAAGATGTAAGTAACAAGCGAAGAAACCTGTAAGTAGCATCTCAAGACAAGATGGTTCCAAAGGCAACCGCTAAAGAAAAGTATAAGTACCAGGAGAACAAACAGGGAATGTGCATTCTCGAGTCCAGTACCATTATACCACTGCACAAGTGCAAGAACTTACTGTACTTACCCTGTGCCCTGAAGAGAACCATCCTTTAAACCCAAACAAAAAAAGCATGAACAGACCTGAGCTTGCAACGAAGGATTGCGCATGGAAGACCTGATGCGAGGAAGCTTGAGGGCTTCTCCTCTTTAATATTTTATAATTCTGAGTATTAATATAATATTATTATTGCCTGATGTGAAACCTCCACAAAGACTGAGACACCCAATCCAAACCACTTTTTGACTGTCCATGGTTTGAATATCAAAAAGCTCGTAAATTAAATATGAAGACAGACCTTTCCTGAGAGGGAAGAATAACGATTCTGAAGCCCCCTGTAGACTACTGCAAACTCCATTATCGCAAATCCACCTCTGAGTCTTTGCCATCCGACTTAACATTTACATAGAAGACATGGACACCACATTTTCCTAGCCGCATGGCATATGAGAAATATGAATTATCTGTGCAGTAACGGCGCGGCAAAACAGCTAACTCCAAACCGTGATAAATCTTTCATAAGAGACCACGACCCAACCAGCAACACATGATCGGAGCCGCTCTGAGCACCCAGCTGCGAAGAAAGGGTGGCTTCAAAGCACCTGACGCTGGCAAACACTGGCATGCTGATACGACTCACTTACTACCTCAGGAAAGCATTCTGCGGCAACGACTGCAGAACCGCACTTTTTCCTGCTGTGTCCGGCGAGTCGAGAAGTTGGCGAGTCGAGTACCGTGTATCAGACCGACGAATCAGGATATTTCTCTGTCTATTCCAGGATGCTGCTATGCGGCCTTCTAAAACATTAATTTAATAGTTTGTCCTTCGAGGAACCGTCGAGTCTGATATGCACGGGAACTACGGGGGACTCCGTCCTCCGGGGGGAGCAGCCGGCTTGCGGATGCAGGCGGGTGCCTGCTTTGGCGCC